ATATCCCCAAGCCAAACAAGTTGTTATCCTTTGAAGCCATAATATTCTTGACCATCGTTTAGAGAGTCAAGGCAGAGAATGCTTATTTTGATGAAAAGTCTTGAATTGATTGTTAACTAGTATCATGCTACCACAAACTGTCTTGTTCATTTTTCCTAGCCAGCCAAGATGTGGTTATATAACAAGTAAATCAACAATGCAAGTGTCAGGTTTAGGTAACCTCAGACAATCAAAGCATTCGAACACACACTTCTTTACAAAAAACAAAACAAGCAAGAAACAAGTACCAATAAAATTCTTAGACAATGCCTGTCAGTTCAAATGATAAAGTTGCCTTCTCAAGCCAGTCTGCAATGACATCTCTATACCAGCTTTCTGTAGATGGAATCAACGAAAAAAGCTGTTGGAGGTGGAAGAATTAAAATGTGCAATTTTGAGAAAGGATTTGCGCTTGTTTACAACCCCCATCATGGCACCATGGAGAGCACTTAGCTGGACTGTAAACTGCCATGTTTGTTAAAATGTATGATCACGTTTCATCAGAATTCCCCTGCAGCAATATAAACAGAAAGAGATGATGTAAATGGATCCAAGCATTCACACTCGCCCAGGGTATCAACAATCTTAAACAAGTTGAAATTTCAGTCAATGTATTATCGCTTCACAGAAATTATCCATCGTTTAGATTTAAAATTGATTTTCCATTAATTAGCATTTGTATGAGTCTTGATTTTGTCATCAGTAAGCACATAAAACTTTTAAAAATTTGTACTAGTTTGTTTTTCATAGTATAAATGAAATCCACTTGTGTTTTAAAGAGACAGTAAAGACTGTTGGGGTATGTTCACACTGAGTTATATTATATCATGTGTTGAGAGTTAGAAAGATGTTGTGCTTACTATCTTTAGCAACAAAGTTAACATGCTCCTTAGACAGTACAGTTGCCGTTAACCAAAAAATGTTTGGAATTAATGAATATGCTGAAAATAAAAAATTTGATTTATTGACGAGAACCATTCCCAGAGTTTTCAATTAATTGTTCTGCTTATCAATCTGATACTACCCGCTCCATGTGTCTTCATCTCATCACTTCACCAATGATGCCCTAGTGTGTCATAGAGATGACGTCAACTATTAGCAAGTTTTCAGATGCAGATTCAAATCTTTCTGTTTATTGGTCATACTTGGATGATGTGCTGCACTTGGGGAAAAAATGTATCGAAACAATTTTCCAAATATTCACTTCTTCATCAGCTCGAGATTGCCACATAGCCTGCTATTTCTGATTTAGGAAATAAGCTTGTAGTTACAAATCGCGTCATCATCAGCTCGAGATTACACTCAAATCTCAAGCTTGAGATATTTTGCTCAGCGTTTGCGCATAGTGTGAGTCTTCGGGCTGGTGAGGACGCACCGAACAATTAGCGGGATATTTTGCAAACTAGCCCAAGATATCTTGGGATGATTATCTCAACCAAATATCCCGCTAATTGCAACTGCGGGCTGATGAAGACGCAAATTAGCTGGATAATTTGCGATCGGGATTGTTAAAATAGCGGGTAATATTTGGCAATCTCGAGCTGATGAAGACAGGCCTTCAGAATTGTTAAAAACTTGAAATGTGTCATCTACTACTGCAACCCAATATATAATTAATCTAGTTGATGTTGATGCAGACTCCTATGGAAAAGGACAGGAGCATTTGTATCTGCTGAGAGCCAGAATGCAGTTAACTCCTAACTCCCTTCTGACTCCAGAGATCATCTGTTTGGAGCCAGAAGGGCATTGATTCATGTTCTGTAACACAGGGTTAACACCCTTTTGGCAATGAGCAGACGATACTCATGTAGAATCATGGCATACATGTGCTATCAGCTTTACAGATACTCCTAAATTCCTCCCGTGTGGACCGTTGCTGTTGCGCCCCTTGCTGATATGCCCCTTTTACTTGTTGCTCCTCGAACTCAAATACCAAAGTTGATAGGGCACAAAAAACATGCTGAAAGCGATGCTTCTGATTGATAGGCATGCATAGATATAGACACCCTTTCCATTTTGTTCAACATGATTATTGATTGTTCATCTTCCTAACAGTCAACAAGTATCATGGTTGCAAGATAATGAACTCAGTGTCGATCGTACAGATGCAAGTGTCCATGGTGCCTTTAGGTAGTCCACAAGAGCAGTTTAAGACTCAAGAATAGATTGAAGAATGATCATGTGGATAGAACTTACAGCAGATACGGCTGTGTGAAGTGCTAAAGCATGACACAGATATGAACAGTGCCTTGAACATAGTCTTGTTGAGTCCCCAGAGGTTATACACTGCAGAGGAAAACTCTGTTCAGATGTTGTTCACGACCAAAATAAGAGGAAAATACTGCTGCATAATTGGTTATGTGAGTGAACTGCAAAAGGCTTTGTTCTAAGTTAAAAAAATATGAATATATGCTCAATAATGGCTCCCACACAACATAGAGATGGGTAGGGCAGTATAAGTTATTTTGAAGTTGAAATTCCGTGAGCAGTTTCTACTGCCTTGTGTTTTTTGTGGGCTAAATCTTGTCTGAATGGGCTTCAATAGATCAAAGAACCAAAATATGAACAGGGTATATACGCAGCATGATCCGATGGGTGACCAAGCATGGCTGCGTATAGTCGTAGTGTCTGACACTGTATCCCTCCACTCTCGTTTCTATCGTTCAGCTATAAATCACTCTGACTTCCTTCCCTGGATGATGCGCTTAGCGCCCAGCATTATGGATAGAATTTAATCCTGCAGTTCAGATGCAAAAAGGCCTTAGTGGATATTAGGAACTATTCAACACCCCCCCCCCCCCCTTAATTGTTGTGTTGTGAAAATGCATTGATTGATATTCCTTTTATACATTTTGAGATATTTCAGCTACGGTATTAAATATGAACTCTATTTACATCACATTCTAAGAAATGACTTACGGTATTTGAGATTACAGTACATTGTTCAACTATTCTATACACGCTTATGATGATTTTGCTTGAATCCATGAGTAATATTTACTTTACTCTCTATCTCGATAATAGTTGGTACTTGTATGTGTACACTCATTTGTTTCCTGAAAATTTCAATAGGAATCTTTTGGTAATATTGATATTTTTCTGCGACGCTTTCCCAGTATCTGTCGTTCTGGAGTTGCATCCTTTTGTATAGTCAACTTGCATCTATGCTGATCAGTGCCTTATCAGTTCATTTAAACCCTCTGCTGGTTGAATACGCCTCAATCGATCTAGAGTGCCAGATGCATTTATTCAGTAGCTGTTTTACAAGTGCTTTATTTATTGATTGAATGGGCCAAATCTTAGAAGGAGTCAATTTGGCAAGACCACGCTGGGATTTGTCACTTTCCAGATGAGAAACGATCACTTTAGATCTCTCATCCCTTCAATAGGTCCCGTGTGGGAGGCTTTCTGGAATAGCCAATCGACTCTGTGGTGGGCTCTGCGAATAAAAATGGAGAACTGAAAAAGAGTTTGCAAACCACTGGTGTTGGTTGTCAGATATTTTTACTTCTCACTTTTTTTAAATCGTCAGGAAATCCTTGAAATGTGAAAGTATCATTTCAGTCAGCTTTGATTTGATTTAAATCGGTGCTTATGCAAATATAGCATTACCCTTTCTGGTAAATGACGCCATTGTTGTGGTAATGCTCAACACATAATTTGTGAGGATAAGATATTGAAATGACTAGTTTGAGGGAAAAGAGAATTCTCTCTCTTTGGGGAGAGATAATCCAGGGTGAATATTACAGGGAGAGCTGCAGGCTCTTTAATAAAAATTTGTTCTGTTATTTTGTCACACTCAAAGCAGATTTGTCAGATATTGCAGATTGGTCAGACAATTTACTACCTACATGTATGAAAAGGGAGATTAATGTATGGTGGTTATACAGGGCTAGAAGGGGCATACTTACATCATGTGATATTGCTTCATGTAGTTATATATCTATGTACTATCTTGGGTAGATATGGAGTTAGATTTTGCAGATGTTCTTTATTTTGCCTACCATCTTTCATTTTTACCTTATTCTTTTTTTTCTTCACTTTGTCCTTTTTCTTTCTTTCTTTCTTTCCTTCTTCCTTTTCCATTTCTCTTTATATGCCCAATATTTCTTAAAGCCATTTTATCAGTGAGTGCTCAATGTCTTATGTGATAAAAAGATTGTAAAACATGATTGCTTTTCAAATGAAATAGCATCCAGTAAATAATCTGCTAGAAAGTGAAACCGAGTGATCTTCAATCTTAATTAAAAAAGAGAGTGATAGTCAGATAGAGAATGTGAAACAGAAAAAAGAGTGAAACAATAAAAAGAGAGATGAACAGAGACAGAGAGACAGACATGAAGAGGAGACATATAGAGAGAGAGAGAAAGAGAAAGAGAGAAAGTTTGGGGTGCGTTAAATTAAGGAAGTTATAAATGAGATGTGAGAGCTAGGAATTCTAAGAAAGTGTATTATGCCCTCAAGAACATACTGTTTCTTTGGCTGTTGTGCTTTCATCAGAGCAAGTACTAATTGTTACAATTACAGGTGGCTTTTCTAGACAGGTTGTGCAACACATGTTTCTTTCTCAAGGGAGACAAACTACATGGCCACTACATACGGTGGCCTTAATTAAGAGGTGGCCTCTAAGATAGGTTTCACTGTAAATATATGCAATAATTGTTTAATTACTTTATTATGTTTTTACCATTTTTGTCTCCAATAGGAACATAAATACCATCTAAAAGTACACCTGTATGTGTTATTTAATTATCATACCCTGTTTTACAATATTTGTTTCTGATATGATTGTAAATGTTATAGAAGTGAATGTAATACATGTATGTTATTGTTTTCTCGCCATGTTTTACTATACCTCTTTCTTTCTCTGATTCATGAACACACAAGTTATCTAAATGTACACATTTATATCATTATTTAATTACCTAATAATTTTCCACCATTTCCATTGATCTTGTCAGTGTGGTTGGTACTGGGGCCCTATGAGCTGGGATGATGCTGAGATGAGACTAGAGAACACCCCAGATGGATCCTTCCTGGTGAGAGATAGCTCTGATGATCGTCATATACTCAGCTTGACCTTCAGGGTTCAAGGTAGCACGCATCATACACGCATTGAACATCATAATGGTGAGTATTAATACATCATTCAAGACAAAAATTCATATTTTTGTAGTTAGTCTGATCATTTTTCATTATTCAAAACCCTAAATATATACCAGATGAATGAGCAGAAAGAAGGAAAAAAATGTACATCCTGTGTCCACTTGTGATGTGTATTCATATATCATTATATTGATAAATGCTAGGAACTTTTATAATGAGAAAATGTATTAAAGTCCCTGAATTGGCAATAAGTTTGGAGAGTTCAAAATGACTGTTTCCATGCAAATATGTTCAGTCAAATGTTATTTGACTAGATTCTGACAATGGGAAAATTCTAATCAGATACATGACTTTGTTGTTTAAAAATAATTGTAGGTGTTGCTAATTTGAAGAAGAAAAAATGGATGATCAATTATACCTCTGTCTTCAATCAGCTCTCATTTTTATTAAACACCACCTGGAACTTGCAAGTTGGGACCACCTTTCTATAAAGTCTATTATTGGTGTCACTTTACTGGATTTACAGAAAAGATTCTCAACCCCAAAGTTCAACTTAAATATTGTAGTGAAAGACATTCTACTTTGATATTTAGAGTTTAAACCTATTAAGATTGCAGGCAATGAAGGAAACCAAAAGGTATTGCTTTTACTAGCCATGAGGTATTATTAATGCAAGATCATGAATGCCAAAGGCTTCTCCCCTTCATGGATAAGCCACAGCCTGTGTAGTGTGACCACTACTCCCTAATTGGACTCTGGAAAAAAAACCTCGAGATTTATGGAAATTGAGACCTACATTAGAAATTTGCTGATGTCATTTCAAATGATGAATTCCATCGAATCGGATCCTTGCTGAATTTAATCTAGAAAACCATATCAAATTTAGGAAAGTTCCATTCTGGCAGAGGCTGACTAATTATAAATCGTTGAATTCTGAATTTCATCAAGGTATAGTCATCAAGTCTGCCCAAAACACTAAAAATTAAATCAATAAATGTTTAAATAAATTGACAGATTGTAATGGAACATATTGGGTGAGGGGGTGTGGTTGATGGGGTTAATGTACACTAGTAGTGCTCATTTAGAGGATGTGCATACATTGTATATAGATAAAATGATTCAACATTCCTAGAATCATGTTTTATAGAGGCTGATGTTTCAAGTTATGATACATCTGTTCTGTTTGCTCATCTTTGAACAAACAAGATAGGTATCAATAATTCATGATATGGGGGGAAATTCCCAATACACAGAGTCGATGAAAAGGTAGGGACAACCGTTTCGGACCCCCCGATTGATCTGGGAGTTCAATTTTTCACCAAGCGATATGAAAAGTGTGTGAAAACACGGAAGCTTTTTGGATAATGATGATTCCATGCTAATGCACACAGGAAGTAAGCTCTTCCCCATTTATGAAGGCCTGGTGGAAATGGCTCTCGAGAGTAGTGTTTATGTCACTTCTCTTTCCGTGGCTGGCTGACGGACGATCCTACCTTGTCTCTCTGGAAATATGGAAATTGTATATAAGACCTAGAGCATTGTTCTGTATAGTTATAGGTGGTAGTCATTCCCAGGTACCTGGTGTGACACCCATAATATAATCTTGCAGACCATTTGTCAGGGTTTTTTTTCTTGGGGGGGGGGTGTCTACTCTAGTGCATTACTTTATAAGTTTATATATATTTTACATATTCTATATCATAAGAAGCATGAAGAAGAGAAAATACAAACAAAATAAACACACTTCTTGCAGAATGAGAACAGAGGCACAGATCATTGTAAATATGAAATTACAAGACTTACAACGACAGAGGTAGTGCAAAAATATAGAAAAAGAAATAAGTTCTTGGATGTTTTTGTGGACTTGTTGTAATCCCTGAGATCCTTTTAGCGTGATTTCCTCGTGGAGTTTCTCCCATTTTACTTGACAGTGGCCTTAGGATAGCTTAATAACGTCCTGTAATCTAGCTTTTATAGAGATTTTTCAGAGATGGGAGAGACTGGAAATGTCTCCCTCTTCCTGCATCTGTTTCTTAGCCTGCGGTGTGATTGCAAAGGAGAACTGACAAAAAGTCAATAAATATTCAGATATGAAAGAAATGTGAAGTGTTATTAGTTGTATGTTGCTGAAAATCCATTGTGACATTGGCACATCCAGTCCCACCCACAGCCGATTGTGTGGACAGAAATAGCAATTAAGATTAATAAAACAATTCCTTCTTGCATGCCAGAAATCTTTCAGACTTTTGAGGGGAAATGTGGCCCCCTCAGATTTTGAAAGAAAATTGAAGTTTCAAACCCATTTGGTGCGATTTGGTGCATATTTTCTAGTAAACTAAACAGCTTTAGTGTGAAATGGCCATTAATGTATCTCTTGCCATAACTGTCTGTGTATTAAAGGCACATGTACATTTAATTATGAATTCTGGTAATGACAATAATATAAAATTATCATAGAATCAAACAAAATTTGAATTCAAAGGGTTTCAGACTAAAAATAAATGATATCTAACAAGTATTTCAAGGAAGTTTTGAATGTCTGCTTTTATTTGGCTTGTCCAAACATCACAATCCAATTTATTATAAGCACTTCAGAATCTTTGAGAGTCACTGCCTCTCTCAATTAAAGTACAGTCCCACTTGCAGAACTCACTGATTAACTTTAAACTTCCACCTTGGTGCCATGCATAGCCTGTCTCTATCCTTTCTGCCTCCAAGCCATGCTTGCTATACCTGGCCTGCGTTTACAAATGTATGAGGATATTGGCAGTATGACGTCAGTAATGGTTTATCTGGTTACCCCTGATTGTCATTGAGCCTGTAACATTAGCTTTTCAATCAATGAGAGCTTGAGAGTCAGGCTACCAATACATCAAGAAATCAAGCCTTTCATGTCTCATTCATATTGATGCTCCAGTCATTTCGTTCATTTCTTGCAAAGCTTTAAACTGCAAGAGAGAAATGATGCGATATAGTATTGATGGTCATTTAGTTCATTTACTTGCAAAGCTTAAACTGCAAGAGAGAAATGAAGCGATATAGTATTGATGGTCATTTCATTCATTTTCTTGCAAAGCTTAAACTGCAAGAGAGAAATGAAGCGATATAGTATTGATGGTCATTTCATTCATTTTCTTGCAAAGCTCAAACTGCAAGAGAGAAATGATGCGATATAGTATTGATGGTCATTTAGTTCATTTACTTGCAAAGCTTAAACTGCAAGAGAGAAATGAAGCGATATAGTATTGATGGTCATTTCATTCATTTTCTTGCAAAGCTTAAACTGCAAGAGAGAAATGAAGCGATATAGTATTGATGGTCATTTCATTCATTTTCTTGCAAAGCTCAAACTGCAAGAGAGAAATGAAGCGATATGGTATTGATGTTCATTTCATTCATTTTCTTGCAAAGCTTAAACTGCAAGAGAGAAATGAATCGATATAGTATTGACAGTTATTTCATTCATTTTCTTGCAAAGCTCAAACTGCAAGAGAGAAACAAAAGGTAATGACGTTATTTCATTAATATTCTTGCAAAGCTCAAACTGCAAGAGAGAAATCAAGCAACAGTGTATATTTCATTAATTTACTACTAGAGATCAATACAAGATTGAAATCAATTATACATTCATTCTCAATCCCTTGAGGTATGTCTTTATCATAAGTAAGCCCACCAATATTCAGCCCATTCATGGCTAGAATTTTCTTTGAAGTTCGACATTGATCAGACTCTCCTCTTCAAATTGGCAACACTCGTGTTCATTTTCCCTTTTATTTCCACCTATTTCTTATAAATAACCATTAATCAGAAATTAGAGTACATGGTAAATGGATACTTGGATAAAAGGCCTAGTTTGTTTGGAAAGACAGTGATTATGGCACTCTCCAACATGTTGCTACTTTCGGGATTTTTATGCTTGTTTTGCTAATAGAAATTCCTGAAGTCAAATACCCAATAGAAGTGCAAACAGGGCTAGATTTTTTTTCCCCAATCATTATGAGGTACCGGTACATGTATATCAATGTCTCAGTATAAAATGTAATCATCAACAAGACTCGCTTGTAATATAACGCAGCTAAGTGCCCATGATGAATTTCTTACACAGGAAGATGGTATCAACCGGGAAATCACATCCTTTATTTTTAAGCAGTAGCACAATCATGTAGTAAGGAAACTACTTTTTCAGCAAAGATTATGAAGAAAAACTGGTATCACTCATGTTGTGAGAGATAAGCTGTCCGTATGTTGAACATTTTGGTTAAGAACATAAGGGTAGGATACTATGCACATGAACAGAGTTTTTCATTTCTCTTGTGATTCTTCGGTCATGTCAGGTATTGCCCTGTTATCTGTTACGTGACTTCTCTGTTATTTTCCTACAGTATAAACTTTTAGAGAGTACCGGCTTTTGCCTTTGCAATAAAGTTTCAGTCATCTCACATGACATTTACAAATGATAATGCAGTTAGTAGGACCATTGTCATCTCTACATCACATCATCTTATTGATCAAAATGCAAAATAGTTCTCTGCCACCATTCTCTCATGACTTCACATCCTCCCATATTAAACACTACTCCTCTTTATTCTCTGCTTCCCCAGGCAAATTCAGCTTCTGGTCGCAACCAACCACCCACGGTAGTTCGTCCATCGTAGAGTTCATAGAGGAAGCGATGCGGCACTCACGGAACGGCCGCTTCCTCTACTTCTTGCGCCCTCGATGGCCAGGACTCCCTCCCGTCCCTCTTCAGCTGCTCTATCCCATCTCTCGGTTCCAGAAGGCTCGCTCTCTCCAGCACATGTGCCGCTTTGTCATCCGCCGAAACGTCCGGCTCGACCACATCGATGCCCTCCCGTTGCCACGGCGACTCAAGGACTATCTGCGGGAAGGGCAGTATTATACTCCAGATGATATTAAGCCTTAAGCCAATGAGATGATGAGGAAAAGGCTAAGTATATGTATTAACATGTTTACGTCATAAATCATGTCATTTTTTACTCAATTCGATTTAATCACTATTGAACACTACAGCTAAGTAAAGCAGTAGTATGCAAAGCTTACCATTTTAATCAATAGTATAATAATGAGAAAAAGCAGTGCAAATATTCTTGTAGTTTAACTGCAAAAAGGAAAACTGAATCACCAAGTGCATAGCTCTACAAACCATTGAGATTTCTCTTCAATCATGCGTGATCAAACTAATGAGAGGTGAAGAGTTCAGGGTTCAAGCCCATTAGCTTATTTTTATTTTGTATAGATATTGCCTCAGAGGATTAGAAAACATGTTTGTTTCACAGCCAAATATGCACACACATATCTCTAAAATATATCATATTGAAGACTCTAATTATTGAGCATCATGATTGAAATACATGGTATTGAGTAGTTTGAAATTGCTTGTAACTAGGCCTGAGTCAAACCGTTTAACCGACGGTTATCCGACCGCATTCATCAAAACCGTTTAGCATTTCTCGCTCCGGTTAACCGTTATTTGCATACATTTTGGAATGTGCTAATAGCCGATGATAAAGATAATCAAAGAAACCGCAGTGTAATGTTACACCCTGGTCGCTGCGCGCCAGCTTTCTGGCAGCAAGTAATCCCCATGAATGAATTTGTAAACAATAAAACAACCAGCCCCCTTCTCTCTTTTCTCACCCTCTTTATTCCCTTCTCTCTGCAAGGTGTTCATCGCTCATGTACCTTTTCTTATTACTGCACTCTCAGCTCACAACTTTCTAAATGTTCACACATTCGATGGTCAGTTCCTCTCACATCCCTTCTCCCCCGAGTCTCTCTCTCTCTCTCTCTCTCAATATTAATATCCATCCCTTGCCGACTCGCCCCCTAAAATAATGTTCATATATAAATCAAATACAAAAATATTGATAACAATAATAATTGAAGTTTTAGAAATATCAATCAACAAAGTCTTGGATATTGTGAGTAATTTAAGTTTTTGATCATTCTTCAATTCAGCCGATTAACACAGCCACCCTTTCTATCTAGTCTCACTTGTTTTACTTCTTTACTCTCTCGTGTCCCTGCCTCGTCCATGCAGGGACATGCAGGGACATGCTAGCCCATGCATGCTCTCTCAGTCACACACACATGTACACACAAACCTCCGGCGCCCAAATACACTGTACATACACACAGATGGAGAGCTCATGCTTGTCACATGCACACATGTGGGCGTGGCTTCTTCACCTCCCACTGAACTGGGTACGGTGAAAGCACGCGCGGTCACCAACCTGTAATTTATGCTGGTATCAAACTCCACCCACATAGCTAGAGAACCTTCCTGATTGGTCACTAACTTGGATTAGCTCATTGCAGGGTGTGTCTTGGGTGTGTGTGATACACACTTCCACATAATTTCATATGGCAATGATACATGCAGGGAGCTCTCTCCCTGACCATGTGCAAACATTACATTGCAAAGGCATATATAAACACGTCACAGATCAGCTATCTTCACAGAGTAATTTTGCAAGGTTAATCATAATATCAAATTCAGATGAGGAATAATATATGTTTTATGTTGTTTATTACTGGTCTCTGTTTATCAGGATGACCCAATTTGTGCCATGGTCCGGGCTGGGAATGCTCAGCCCGACAGTCTGAAGACCAGCAGGGTTCCGAGCTACAGCACTATTACAAATACTGTATTTTCACTTTTTCAGATTATTATTAAACGGTTAAACGAAACCGCCCGTATACTTTTAACGGTTAACCGTTTAGCACAAAAACCGTAATGACTCAGGCTTACTTGTAACCAAACCTTTCATGATACAGTGTATTACTTCACTGTACCTTAACTTTAACAATTGAATATGAATACTCTATATTTTAACCTCATACAGCTCTTATAACTGGGTAATTTATTTAGGGATATTGAAATAATGTAGGTACATGTAAATAAACTCAATTCAGTTCAATTCAAGGTGGGAACTACAATTCTAATCACTGCACAAATGATGCTGTGATGGTACCAAGTAAATACCACACACATCTAAAGCAACACTGCACATGTAAATATTCAATGACATTCAGGGAAAGCAGAAAGATATTTTTATATTTATGATTTTAAAAGCTTTGTAAAGGCCAGACACAATAGATATTCTGGTCTGTTGAGTTTGAAAGGCAAATGTACTTCAGAATACTACGTTGCTTATATAATTCGGTGTTAAACAGAACCTTATTTACAACCTACAGATTGGTTAGGGATTTCAACTCAAGTATTTTTCTACTGCTAATATTTTTGTGCATCCACAGTTCCAAAACTGAATTCTGTGTATGAAAATAAGAATGAAATTATGCATCTCAGTGTGCCAATCAACTATTAGATCAGTGCCAAACAGTCTTTATCCAAGATTCTTCACTATCAATAATGATAATACAGCATGTAGTTATAAATGTTTCCTTTATATTGGTGATAAAACAAAGGCTTGGGCAACAGTTGTTTAAAGCTCTGTTTCATAAAAACCTGTTATTAATACAAAATAAAAAATGTCTATGACAAATTCGCTCCAAGCCAATCAAATGGCACAATTTCAGTAGCTTATAACAGTTATTGTATTTTGCTTTACCGGTATTTGAGAAACAGGACCCTGGGCTTTTTTTTCCATCAAGAAACTGAAGCTGCAATGCAGCGATGTCTAGCTTGATGGAGGGCTTCTCCCCTCATGCAGTCTCCATGGGCCCTGTTTACAAGTGGGAAAAAACCAGCCCTCTCTGACCCACTAACTACGCGGAGGGTTTGCTCCAACTGTTCTCACCCTTTCAAAAGGGTGTTGCCATAGTTACGTCAGAGTTTTAAATCTCACGGGAGCAAAGGTGTGTTTTTTCTTCTTCTTCCAATTCCATGATTTCTACTCAATCATAGAGCAGCACAGTTAAGAAAATGTTGGGAGTAGAGAGAAATCCTCTTCAAGAAAAAGGAAGAGAAAGTACTCCCGAAATTTAAAAATATTCTTTTGATGACATACTGGAACTACATTTTACACTTTATTTGTGATGTATCAATGGATATCTATTATCTATAGAGGATAACTGCTCTTTGCTTAATGAATTCAATACCTATCGATAACAAATCACATTACTTTAGATATATTAGGTACAGTTGTAGCTGGGAAAGTTAACATAGATTATCTAGATTAAGGGAAACGTTTTAATATTTAGGAAATATGAGAGAAAAAAAAGAAAGAAAAAAAATCCAAACCAAAGACACCATTGATTGCCTTTGCATGTATACCTCACCTGTTGTGTAAGTGCATCATTTTTCCATCTCTTTGTTCAGTTTATGAACAGAAAAACAAAATCACACCCAGCCTATACTGTGTAAACCTACCGTGTCTGCATGCATGCCACGTTGATTTAAGATTTACATTGTTTTATGAGCTTGTTACAAGTGTCAGGTTTAATTGGAGTAAAGTTTATAATTGAGATGTAAAAGGGAAATTGAAATTAATAATCACCAGACGGTGTGTCCTGTTGTGGGGGTCAATTCTCAAGTGATATAGTGAGTTATTATCACGTGCAGTCAAGGATAGATTTGATATGTTGTGTTCATAACTTTAATTTTAGAACTAGAATGTCACCAAACTTTCTGTTTCATACACACAAACGAATCAGGAAATGCTGTGGAAGGTATAAGGATTGTCACATTTGAGGGTTGACGGAAGGAACATAAACTGATGTCCTTGTCAAGGTAAGGTACATGTGTGCAGTTGAATGAAATTAATGTGGATAGCAATTAATCTGGTTAATGGAATAATTGGAGCCTTGGCCTTGGAGGACATAGATAAAACCATTCAATACCCATATGAAGACCATGATTATGGAGATATCCCACTTAATTCATGTACTTTGTTATCACTCTGCTGAGTCACTCTCTTTGGTGAACCTCATACTCATCGATCTTCAGTGCAGGCTTATAAGTGTAATGCATTAGTAAATACCCCAAAACAAAAACAAACAAACAACAAACAAACGAAGCAATCATACATAACAAAAAAAAAGGTGAAATAAACAAAAACACATACAACACTTTTGAAAAGTTAGCATATTAACATTAATGTGAATGTAGACTACAAGTATGGAGAATGGATATCGTCACTGCTTTGAAATAACAGACAATGATATATTTGTTTATTTTTTTCTCACTCCACCGTTTCCTCATTTCCATTTGAATGATACTTTGATGTTGATTTTTTCTCTTAAACCAAAAGAAAATTTCTTCTTGTCATAGCAATAAACAAAAATCTTCTATGATTTCCATGGAGTATGATAAGTAGCAGAAATAAAAAGTAGCAGAAAATGTCTTGGACGTCTTTGGAAATATATTTATGGCAGCAAGAAATTGGCCTCAATAAAGGAAAGATAAAGATTGAGTAAAATAGAACCCTGTGAATTACCTTATTAACCTTTATATTGCTGATAGGATCAACTAGTCTACAATGCCATTCTCACTTTGAAAAGGTCGTCGGTAAGAGCGTTATGTTTTGAAGTATTAAATTAGATATTGTACTTTCAATTTTTTTTTTCCAAATCAATATAACCATTGATGATGTTCATTTCTAGTTGATTACAGTAGTCTTCATGTCAGTCACAAATCTTGCAAGATTTTCCAGCAATGAAGAATATATTGATCTGGGTTGGGTCTCGTGTTTAAAGACTAGCAGCTAGCGAGTTGAACTTGGAGAAGCCTTTGATGCGGTCCTAGATTCGCTGGCTGAATGTGTTCTTTAATATCCTGCCTGCAAATTGGATTTCTTGTCGCATGGATTTATTTTGGGAGAACTGGGGAAATTGGGGTGTCTGCTCTTACCCGCCATCACCTAAAGAATCTCAGTTACTTCTCTTTCATATATATGGAGGGGTCAGTGACACAAAGACACAACTCCATTTTGGCCATTTTGAGAAAAAGTGGTTTAAAGATAGAGGTCCACTATGTTTCACTAGCCATTGACTTCATTGGGGTGTTGGGTGGAGTTAAGTCTTTGTATTTCCTGGAAAGCCCTCATTTTTCTGAACATTTTGATATCAAATACTCATTTTGGCAAAATATGGCGTTACGTCTTTGTGTCACTGAACCCTCGATATGTGTAGAGTCAGAATGATATGGTAAAGAATAAAAGTTCTGATTTTCAAGGTATAGCCATCTGTTTTGGGGTCACTCACAGCATCACCCTTTCCCTTTAGGTTAAAAGTTGAGTTGTATAGCCTGCCTACAGTAACCACTTTTTCTGTTTCCAGTAATAGCCTTTATAAGTGGGTTTGACTGTAAATATATCTTCTGAGGTATTCTGTCAGCCTTAAAAAGGTGCCACAACCTATTTTGTATAAAGAAAATATAATATTTGTGGTCTTATGTCACAATATTAACTTAAACACTTTGTTACGGTCAATGGAGGCACATGCATTTTATATTCTAGTAGTAATGGCAAACATTGTTCTTCATATACCGGTAATTAGTTTATTGAGCTTTTAATGACACACTTCAGCCTATAAAACATGCTGTAAATTTCTAATTTTTTCTTGCATTTATAACATTTCCCATTTTTTATCAATATTGTTCAACTTACATGACTTTTTATAAATATTTGTT